ACAAAACTAACCCCCAGTGCTTCTCCATCCCTCATGCACCCCTGAAAGCCCAACCCAGTCTCCTCATCCCCAGTCCAGTGCCGTGGCTGCCGTGGTGAACTCCAGTGAGGGGCCTGCAGGCCAGCAGCAATTTATCCTGTATCCAGTAATTTTGTCCTAGGGGCTTGATCCTTCCAAGATGAGCCAGAAACACTGACCGTGCACCATTTACAGGACTCTCACCACCCTCCTGAGAGCAGGCCATGTAATAGCAGCAAACCTCTCACCTGTGCACTCTTTGCACCATGCTGAGCACCAATTCCTCCCCATGCAGAAGGTGGAAGAGAAGCTGGAATACTGGATGCAGAAGTATGAAAATGACACTGACGCGAAAGAAGTAGAACTGGATGACCTAAGAGCGTTGAAGGCAGAGAACTTGGAAACAATGCAGAAATTTGCCAAGGAGGTAAGACATCAGCAGCATCTCAGTGCTCAGCCACGCAAAACTGCACCGGGCTTTTTCCTACCCTCATTCAGATAAGGAACCAGGACCATGGGAAAAAAATAAATCAGTAACTTTGAGGCACAGGGTCCAATTATAAACACTGGTCCTGGGAAGGCAGCGACTGAGATGTCATCTTCCATTTGCCACCTGTGACATCAAGGAGGGATGATAATATTTCCCCTACAGCTATTTTCAAATACCAGCAAGTACTGAGAGAGCTACTGACAGCACTTGTGAGGGGCAAAGACACTGTCCCATCCCATCAGTACACCTCACCTTAGTTTGCTGCCTTAGTCTGAACAAATCTGCTTCTTCCAGCTCCTTCTAGCAACATCAGGGTAAGACAGGCTGGAACTGAAAAAGGCAGCTCATCCCTTCCCGCAGACACACACATTCCCAGCTGCACAATGCTGTTATCAGGGAGCTGGTTCCAGTTAGAACCATTCCTGCCCCACACTGGGTTCTTGGTTAACTACTGGGCTCTGATCACAGTGGAACAGCAGCACAGGGCAGAGGGAAGTGTCTAGAAAAATGTGTGTTTTAAAGCCAGAAGGAATTAACTTGTAATCATTCCTTACCGTCACTGGGTCTGAGATGATGGGACTGGGTTTGATGTTTTCCTCCTTGTGGGCTCATTTTTCACTCTGTGCACTGTCATCTCAGAGTCCCAAGTGTGTTTGTACATCCTCTGCTGCTCAGCCTGAGGGACCACACGTCCTCCCCACCACCAGCTGTTGCCTGGGACACCATCAGACAGCCATTTTAGAGCACGGGATCAGGGGTTAATTACACCCAGGCCTTGAGAGGTTCCACTTTGGCAGCAGCTCGAAGTGCCTGAGGACTGACAGTGGTAATGAGCAACATTTGCCATCTGCATTCAGGAAAGATCAAACAAAGGAGGTGGGGGAGGAAGGTCCACAGTCACACATTACCCCTGCGCTGCCCTGGAGCTCCCTGGTGCACAGAGTGGGGACCCACCCCATGACCCACAGGCCTGAGCAGTTCTGGCAGGGCTGTGGGAAGTGAGTAGCAAGGATGAGACACGTAGGCAGCCAGAGGAGAAGAATCCTTGCACCAGGATACAGGTGAACCCTGCCCTGCCCTGGCAAGTGGCTGGGCACAGTAAGCCTCAAAGGCTGGCCCTGCAGTTTAGGGGATGTGTTTGTCATGTGGCTTTTGCCACCCCTGTGCTCTCTTGCAGTGCCTGATGTTCGAGGAAAACATCATCACTGACCGGACAGAAAAGAAGGATAGAAAAAAACAACGAGAGCAGGACGCCCTGGAGCTGAAGAGCGCCCTGAAGGTAAAGGGGAGCAATGCTGAGGTGATGCTGCTCCATCAGCAGCTGGGAGCTAATAATCTGTGCCACAGGCTTTGTCCAGGTAGAAAACGGCCCCATAAAGTTGGCTGGTGTGGGGTGGCACAAGCAAAGGACAAAGCCTGTCCCTTTCTGACTCAGAGCCAGCAGTTGGCTCCAGGTTTGAGATGGGAGCCAAAGGGGAGAAGCCAGTCTCTTGGAATGATCTGGGGCTGTGCCCATTGCATCAGCTCCACTGCATGGGTGACACAGGGAGGGCCATGGGGCAGTGCCTCTGCTTGTCCCTTGCCACCAGCCACAGATGCCCTGCCCTAGCTGTGGGTGCTTCCAGTGCAACCAGGAAGGCCTGATGGCTGCTGTGTGGGCTGGAGGTTCCCTCCTGTGTCTGGGGAGCACAGGAAAGACTCTCTGGCATTGAGCTGTACCAGGTACCCCAGCAAGAAATTTCCCCTGAGGCCTCTCTTTCTCACTTCCAGGTGCAGGCCTGGTGGAAAGGCACGATGGTCCGCAGATTCCTTGGCCCTTACCAGGCCCTCGAGAAGCTTCTGAAGGAACAGGCAGCAGTGCAGACAGAAACAGGGAAGGAAAAGAAAAAGTAAAGAAAGTAAAGAAAGTGCCCACAGATGTGCTCCAGGTCTGTTGCTGGGCAGAGCACTGCAGTCTGTCTGACAGGACAAAATAAACCATATAACAGAGTTTGGGCAATTCTGGAGAACACAGTTCATGACAGACACAGTTAAGGTGCAGCTGCAGTCAAGATCTTGAAGCTGCCCTTGTACAGCCTTTGTACAGCAGAAAGACAGTTTCTCCAACACAAAGGGGATTTGCATCAAAGCAGTGAGAAACACAATATCCCCCCAAACTGCTTGATGGGAATAAGACAGATAGTGGGAGGTAATCCTGTTACCAGCCCAGTAGCTCGCTGGCATGGGATGCTTTGCACCCAGAACCTCCTGTGCAGCCCTCAAAACACTGGCCATGGCTGGAGTGCTGGTGTTTGCTGTGGGTCAGGCAGGGAGGTCGACGCACCCACGTCTGGGCTCCAGCTGTGCTCTCCCTGCTGCCAGCGCCCGTGTCAGGTCAGCAGGGGAGAACGTGGGCAGTTTGCAGTGCAAACACAAGTACAGTCAGAGCACACAGGTTTCCACTCCCACAGCCCTGCACAATGTCAGCACGCAGACAGAGCAGCTCCTTCTGACTGAGGGGAGGAACAATGGGAAAAGACAGCTGGACATGCTGCCTACAGGAGCTGGTCTGTCACACCATCCCCACCACCCCGGCCACTGTCCCTGCTCAGCGAGATGGGGCTGTAGGCAGGGAGTGGATCTGCTGGGGAGTAGAACTGCTAAGAGGGCAAGAAGGGAACCCCTTCTCCTGACACCACTGTCAGTCAATCACATGCAGGTCTGAGCAAAAAGCCCTGCAGCTGAACTGGCTCATTTCTGACTCTCCCAAGGCAGGAGATGAGCTCAAACCAGTCTGCTCTGCTCTTTGTGACCAGCCCGTGCTGGCACCATCCAAACATCCTCATGTCCGAGCTGAACTGGGAGTAAGATAAACCATGAGCAGAGAGCCTCTGGCTCAGAACTCTGAACAGGGAAAGGGGCTGGTGCCCCACTGTCAGGCAGAGTCGACTATCCAGGAGTGCTGCAGTTTCAGATGCTCCAGATAAATCCATGTTAGAAGTACCGGTGTTCCCGCTGGAGCACGGCCACTTGCTTGACACCTGAACACGTTCCTATTCCAGCACTGGTACCAAAGCTGTGAACAAATGCACTTGCTTCCCACGGTCCCCACACAGTGCTAAGAACAAGGGTAATTCCAGTGCAGTGTCAAGCCAGGACTGTGCTTACATCCCACTGCAGGAGGCATCTCAATGCACTCCCGGGAGTTACGTTCCTAATTTTAACTCTTCCTTTTCATGCGCTGCTGACTCAGTACATTTCACCACGGACTAGTGTTTTCCATATGTGGTGGCTGTTAACAGGTGACCTTCTTGGGTGGAAGGAACGAAGTTGATCACAAACTCTCCAGAGGGTTTGAGCTAAGGAAAAAGCAGGATGGGGGGGGCAGCAGATCTCTGCTGTTTATATCAAACTCCAGGCATGCTTTAGTAATGCAGCCAAACACCTGAAATCTGATGCGTGGCCTCAGCTGGGCTGCGCTCACTTCTCAGCAGAGAATGAAACAAAACTCTGGAAACAAAAACAAAAAGGGGAACAGGGTTTGCTACTCCCATAAAGTGGGGTGTGCTGAACCTCAGGTCCCAACACGATTGTCCTGGTCACTGTGGGGTCACAACAGGGGCACAGGGGTGTGAACCCCGTGAGCTCACACCTCCCGGGGAGCTGCCACAGACTCTTGCCAGGGGACTGTGGCCACACTGCCACCCCTCCAGCTCCTCCTGGCCTCCTCTGCTGCACCAGCCCATCCCAGGGGTGCTGCTCTCTGAACCAGCCTCACCTCGATCCGCAGAAACCACAGGAGACTTGTGTTTCTTGGCTGTACAGCTGCCAAGCAAACAGGCTGGGCACATCCAGTGACAGGAGCAGAGTCCCAAACCCGGCAGTTCTGAGGAACTGCTCCATTTTCCCAGCTATGGAGAAACGGGATCAAAGTGTACCTCCACGGAATTTTCTGCAGGGAAATTGTGAGCACTGTGGAGAAAGAGTTTTCCTGGGAATTAAATGGATAAGAAAGGCTGGAGACTGGGAAGCTGGTTAGGAGGAGGCTTTAGCCTGAGGGGCAGAAATAAATACCTGGAGAGAGCTGAGCAGCCCTGACAGAGGCAGGAATGGAGTTCTCCCAAGTGACTGATGGAATCACCAGGTCAGACAAGGATGCTGAAGCAGCTTGATGAGCAGGGAAGAGCAGCATAGGATAACACAGCCTGTGCAGGCAGGGAGGGTCTGTGGATCTCTGGCAATTTATAGGCCTTGCGTCCTATTTTTTGTTTAAATAATACAAACTAGTGGTGAGGAGGGACAAAAAGAGAAGTAAACATTCTGGCTAAGAACAAACCCAGATAGTCTCAGTTGGAAGGGACTCAGAAGGATCTACGAAAAGTAGAGAACCAAAGCAGGTCCATCAAATGCCAACTGTGATGATGTGGAAGGGGAATTAACACCCGACACAGAGGATGTGACATTCATTGATTCAACAGAAAAACATCAGGAAGAAATACTGTAATTCATGTGAGTTTTAAAACTTTATTTCAAATATCCATGGTTTCCTTTTATATTATCAATGTGCTAGACGTTCACACTACTGGCAGAATACAGGCAATTTAAAATATACAATATTCAAACACATTTATATGTAACAGAAATTATGGAATGTATTTACAGACATACAGCACAGGATGAAGCTTTAAAATCCTTTACTCTATTAATTACACGTTTACACTGTTTTGAGAAATAACAAAATTAGATCACTTTGTAAAACATCACAGTATCCATACAAAAGCATTTTTTAGATGTCCAAATTCACCTTTCAAGTCCTCTGTTTCTGAAACAGTTTTTCAAAGAACCATTTATAGTCATAAAAGGGTAAAAATACCGTTTGCCATCCTGTTGCTACCAGAGGTGCTACAACAGAGGTGCTCTGGTGCTGTAAAGAGTTGTGTCTGATGGATTTGAAGTGGGACACCGGTGGTGGGGCCTCTCAAAAGCCTCCCCTTCAAAGGGGGAAGACCCAAACTCTGCTCTGCCCTGAGCCCCCAGTGGCTGGGATGCTCCACCTGGAGTGTGTAACCTCACTGAGCCTCAGACGCTGCCCAGGGCTCGCCAGGTTTGAGGATGGATGGTGACACCACACAGTCAGTGCAGGAACACCAGCAGCATGGAACACTCAGGTGGGTCCCTCCCACATCCTCCAACACAGAAGCCCCAGAGAGGAAAGACAATCACCTCTTTGCTTTAACAAGGAACTTTATACATGTTTTCTTTCAAATATTCTTTTCATGGGATACAACAAAAATTGCACATAAATACACTGGAAAATCCCAACCCATTTTGCAAGAGAGAACTGAAGTCAATTTGGTGTAACACATTAAATAAACCGTACGATGAAACTTCAGGTTTGGATTTTGTCCTAAACATCTGGACCAGATTTAGTGCTTGCCAGCGTGAAAACACAGGATTACAAACGTCAAACTAACACGATCCCCTACACTGAAACTGCCAGAGTGAACATTGCTTAGAACCAAGTACCCAGTGCTGGGGACCCCCCACCTGCCCAGACACACGGGCTCACACGGCTGAGAGCCACAGGCAACGCAAACAGCCCTTTCTTGCCGGCCAGACTTGAGCTCCCACCAAGTTAATTACTAAAAACTAGTATTAATGAAATGTCAAACTTCCACCAACCTGAATAGTATTAAGTTTCATTCTTTTAAGTGCTGGAAGCTGGACTGAAGCAATCACCACACCCTTTCAATTCCATGAAGGGACTGGTTTTCTTCAGAGATATTTAAATAGCCCACAAGAGGCATGCTGCTAAATGCAACATGTCCCTGTAACAATACAGGTGACCTAATGTTGGAAACCAAGATGAAGTCAGTGCCCCCCTCTCTCAGATGATGTGCAAAGACAAACACACCAGGAACACCTGTGTCTGTGTCTGTGCTGTTGCCAGCAAGTGGCAGAACCTTCCCCTCAGCAAACTGCAGCAAAGCCTTCAGACACCTCTATGTAACCCTTTGAGAATGAGAATGCTCCTCACAAACAAAATTAAGTGAAACACAAGAGCTACTTCAGGGGGAAAGAATGCCCATCTGGGGCTGCTCTTCCTGTGTGTACTGTGAGTTACTGGCACCTTTAGGCATCAATTCCTTGCAGGGTTCAGGAAGAGCATGAGGAGGTTTCTCTTTGCAGCTGGGCAGTTTTAGACACCCTCCAGGTGTTTTCTCCACTTGCAGCATGATAAGTCAATGCCAATAAGAAGCAACCAAAATAATGATGTGAAACAAGGGATTCAACAGTCACCACAATGGACCTTGAAAGAAATACATGAAGCAAAACAAAGTGGACACAAAACTGCAAATCAAAAGGGAAAAAACGCAGCTAAGACGAGTCCTTGGCAGCTCCCACCACAGGTTTACTTCTGCAAAAATGACTTTTAGCTAACTTGTTCCCATTTCTTCTTTCTTTATCTGCATAAAATCCTCTTGGTGTATTCTGCTTCAAATGCATCCCCAAATGGAATACTACTGATGCCTGCAGTTGCTTTCAGACCCCAAGCACCATGTGTTAGTAGCATAACATTCTGGGATGCTTGAAATTGGGCAAAACCTGACAGAGGAACTGCATGGGTGGAGACCTGGATTTTGTGAGGTCTTTTTTTGGGGAAAAAAAAATTACTGTAATTGATCTGGTAGTGAGCTTGGCCTCGTCACTAGGAGCAGAGCACACAGAGCTGTCCTTGTTTTGCACATCAGTTTTCCAAGAAAATGCAAAACTTGTTGGCTGCCTCTCCCCTTCCTGTACACTGAATTTCCATTTTTATGTTAAGGAAAGAGGAGTAAAACCACCACATCTCTCTACATAAACTCCAATGATAAAGGGCTTTATTGAAAGCCTTGTCAAACCCCCCAAAGAGCAGCTGTGTTTGCACAGGCCCTGCTCTGACAACACCCAGCCCACCTCGGGATCTCACTGGGCTCTAACCCTAACACATTCTGTGCCTGCAGGGGATGCTTCAGCCCCTCCTGAATGAGTTAGTTGACAAAGGGCTCCTAGAGAGCAGCAAGGCAGGCTGGGATTGTTCACAGTGCAGAGAAATACACACTTGATTCCGGTGAGCCAGCAGAGATCTCCACCCACTGATGTCAGAAAAGTGTTCCAATAAAGACGTTAAACCCCCAACAGAAAGTGAACCCAGAGAGAATTCTGATGGGATTAAACACCGTTTGAACAGATCTGATTTAGTATCTTTTACTAACGTGTTTTTGGTGGAGAGAACAGGCAGTAAGTTTTCCTTTGGGAAATTTTCTTTTTCTTCAACTTTTAGTAATGAGGACATGCCAACACGAGTTACAGCTCTGTGAGGTTTGACCCTGTTACCCAACACTGCAGGTTAAGATTGTGTGATGCAATTTTTAAAATATTATAATAGAAATAACAGTTGTTCTTTGGAGGCAAAGAAACTCCATTTCTTTGCACTCTGTGGATAAAGAAAGAAATTTAATTCCCCATGTGACCACTGCAGCAACATCCTTTTTTTTTTACAAATTCCCCTAGGAACTGCTTTCCTAACTCTACATCCATATCTTCCACCTGCAAGGTCAGTTTCTACAGCTGGCTCCAACAGCCAGCCACTGGAATTCCTTGCCCTCCTCCCAACCCTCATTTTTTTAAATAAGGGGCAAAAAAATTGGTAGTAAAAATGTTACTGGAAACTGTTGTGATCTCCAAAAAAAATGGAGAAATGAAGTAAAACATTCCTGTCAGGAATCACGGAAACTCATTTCCTTAGAACAGAGCTCTGTGTGTTTGGATGCACTGCATGGGCAGTAAAGTCTTCAGGTCCTTCTGCTTAGCCAAGGTAACCCAAAAGGTCCCGGAGGTCTTTACACAGCAGACAAGTGGTGAAGTGGCTGCTGCTTTGGGGGTGCCAGCTCCAGGAGCGCCTGGACAGTCACAGCTACCTGTGTCAAACCCTTCTCTTCTAAAATATGCAGAGGCAAACATAATTGCTCCTGAATGGGGAACAAAACAAAGACAAAAACAAAATGGATGAAAACCACTCAACTGAAAAGAAAAAAAAAAATTAAGCAAAAGGTGACCGAAATATGAAAAGTTATGGACAGGCAGCACACACACACAGGGGTAGGACATGAAATTTCTGCTTGTGACTAAAGAACCATGACCTTGACTATTCAAAGAAGGTGGCCTTCAGCTAATCCCTGTGTTCATTTATTAAAAAACTCTACAAATAAAAAGGATTGTGGGAGAAGAGGGGAATAACAAATTGTCCTCCATCTCTGCCCACACTGACATGGCAGTGGTTTATGAAACCAAAAGCAGATGAACTTGAGGAGGGGGAAGCTTTGCTTCAACACGATGAACCTGCTGCAACACAGAGCAGGAGAGGAACCACAGCAGCACAGCTTCCTTACCAAATCACATCCCTTTTTGAGGGAGTCCTCACAGGACAAGCCTTGTCAGCTACAGCCTGAGGGGAGCCCTGCTGTGAGCAGGGAATGAGTCACCACCACTCACTCATGTCCCAGAAGTGCCCCCGGCTTAGCGGGGACCCCCAAAATCTTTCTGAGGAATAACAGGAATACGCAAAATGCAAAAAGAGGTTTCAAAGTGTTTATTAACAGTTCTGCTATTCTCAGTCTAAGAGGTACTTAAAGCCTCATCCTACAGAAGTCCTTGGCACTCCTGGCCATCCTCACTCCACAACAGCCAGGATACATGTCCAACAGTTCTCTGTATCTGTAGAAAACAACCCAAGTGTGTCCTTCCTATAGAGCTACAGAGACTATTTTTCATGTGTTATTTTCGCACCAACTGGCATTTCTCCACTCCTTGAGTCTTTACTGATTTCTGATGTTAAAGAAATCCTTCAGCACAAACAGTGGCAGCCAACATTCCTCCCGCAAAGCTCCGAGTGGAGAGAAAACAAGTGAACCCAGACTGAAATTCTCACAGGAAGCCACATATGATCAGGCTAAAATACATTTTTCTTCCAGCAAAATTATGTTACTTTGAAAAAAGTGTGCTTTTTAAGAAAATACTTGTAAACTTGAGGAAATATGCCTTATCTTTTTTCCTTATGTATGCAAACAGATAAGGGAAAAAGCTTTGGAATGACTCCATACCACAGACAGCAATGACAAACAAAATTTAAAAACTGGAAGGCACTGTTAGTGTAAAACCCCTTGCAGCTTTTATCACAGTGTTCACTAGAAGTTAAGAAACATAGGAACCGAGTTCATTCTAGTTCATACCAGTAAGCAGTGCAAAAATAGCTTACTTAAAAATAAAACAATCTGCCCCTGTCAAAGGTCCCCTCTTTCCTCAGGGATGTTTGGCTTGGACAGAACACTTTGTGTGGCTTGGACAGAGAGCACCAGCTCTTTGACTTGCTCCTTTGTTAAATACTCACTTTGTGGTACAAAAGCTTGTGAGATCCACGTACACATAACACATTTTACTGGTAGTGACCACATTTGCAACTGAACTCTTGTGTGTCTTAAACTGTGGTTCAGAGTTGTTCCAGACTATCGCTGGAAGGCCAACACCACTTGCACTGGGCTTACAAGCCATTTACTGCACTTGCAGATATAACAGAAATTTATTGAAGACATATTTGGAACAGCCATTTACTGAACACTTACCTGACACTGGTCTCTCAGCAGAGCTCCCTGAATCAATCTACACTCTGAGGAGACACGGTCTGTTACACACACACCAGGAGTGCCCTGAAGCTCTGAGATGTCCCTGAGACATTAAAGCATTAAAGCACCAGGATGCTTTCCCAGGGGAAGGGAAAAGCTGTGAAGCTTTATGGAAGACTTCCTGAGTTTTGTAAAACAGTGAAGAGTGCTTGTGCAGCCAGGGCTTATATTTCTGCAATTGCATGATACAAAGGTTTCTGAAAATGAGGGTAAGAGGAAGAAGGGAATAAGCACGGAACAAGCTTATGTTGGGGCGCCCACGATCCAGCGGCAACTCAACAAGTTTTTGGTGAGTTTTATCCAGAGCACAGTAAATTGCTATGACATTCTGTAGCATCTGACAGAATCTTAAAAGACTTCTTTCTGTGCCAGAAAACTTAAAGCTGTTGAAGGGCTTAATTTTTCTGAAAATTTCCTGCTTGAATTGTTGTGAAGTTCAAGCAGCTCAGGATTTACTGACAGTTATTTTAAAAATCCTGAGTCAAAGTAATAAAACAGAGTATATAAATTTGAGACATCAGATGCTCTCAGAAGCAGGATGAGGGACTGGGGTTAAGAAAAAAATAAAGCTACAAGGATCTGTGAACAAAACTTACCAGACCGTGTCTCCTAAGACTGTGAGATCTCATCAAGAACACTGACACTGAAAAAAATACTTCACATTGTTCAACATTTTTCATCAGATAATCCTCGGGAAATTTACCAGAGTGGGTGCAATTCCCATTATACAGATGAGGAAAGAGAGGCACAACCTGACAGTGCAGTTTCCTAATACTGCACCATGGGTCAGCAGACTACAGAATGCAGCCACGTCCTCAGCTCAGCCTCAGGTACTACCCCAGGGACTGCACCTCCTCCCCTGTAAAGCATTTTATCTGCTCAATGTGACACAGCAAATACAAATGTGAATGAGGTCACAGATGGTTGTGTGGGTGCACCAATGTGTTTACACATTGTACTTGTCACCTCTGTCCCATCTGTGGGAAACAAAGCACTTCATACACACAGTCTTGACAAAACCCAAAATCTGTTCCCAAGCACCGGAGCGATGGAGGGAGGAAGCAGCACCACTACCCCTCAGCTAGAGAAAACAGACCCAGCGATAGAACATACAGAGCGTTAGCATTAGAGTACAGTAAAACACCACAAAGCCCCAGAGCTGAACGGAAAGGGAGACAAGACTGGATTCTTCTGAATCTGTCCCCAGGGAAAGAAGAGTCTCAACTGTTCTTTTAACGCTGAGGTTTAGCTGAAGAATGTCAGAAGGGGAACAAAGATTGTCCTGTCCAGAGTGTGTGAGCAGGAAGGGAAAACAGACAGAAAAAAAAGGTCAGTCAGTGAGCCATAGCAACATCCACGAAGCAGTCAGTTATCAGACATCTCAGATACAACCTACATGTTTGAGAAGCACATCACAGCTGGTTAATTCTCACACACAAATTTGCAAGACTCCTATTGCAAAGAACTCAGTGTCAGTGAGGTGCCTGTCACTTGTACATCTCAAACTATTCCTTGTTGTTAAAAACAGCAGTTTACACACACTTTAGTGAAAATCATTTTTCTCCAGAAAAGAAGAGGTTACAGGTTTCTGAGATGTTGCTGGCACTGAGTACTCACCAAAGCTCAGCCTCCACATGTAACTTAAGTTAATGAAAACGGCAGGACAAGGAATTATTCATGTGTAATTGATGCCTGAATGCAGCATCCTGCAGAAATATCTATTACTAATTAGAGTTTAAGAGTTCTGTAACTATTCCCACTGTGTGTTTTTCCCCTCCCTTTCCCACAGGTAGCTGCTATAATCAGTGAAATCTAGATGCATGTATCAATCTGTTCAGCTGCCAATTTCCTTTGATCCAAGGGCTTTAACCACAAAAGGTCCTACAGAAATGGCTGCTCTGCTGTAGTGCCTGTAATCAGCCTTCTCTAAAAGTAGCCTTCCCCTTAGAAGGTAAGTATTCCTATATAGATCCATGCTTTCAGAAAGCTTTTTATTTTTGTAATTAGTATTAAAATGAAAGGAAATATCTGCAGGCATCTTTTGAAGAAAAGCACACTAGGCTGCCACGCCACTCTTACAAACAGGTATCTTACATTCACATCTCAGTGGATATGTAATGCAGACATGTGAGAGTAACTTTAGAGCTCAGGTGGGGGTGTTCCAGGAAGTTTTCCCAGAGAGACTCTCCTTGAACTCTTTCACATTAAAACAAGATACATAAGAAAAACAGGAGAGTCCCAGACAGTAGATGCAGCAGTTAGAGCAGCCTGGGATTACAAGGGACTTTTTCTTGACTGGTTTTTTTGTTTTTTAATTGTGGGTCATTTCAGGGATCTGCTCTGTACTGCAATCCCATAAAAATTACATCTTCATACTTGAGGGAGCTATAAATAGGGAAGCTGGGATGGAATTGCACAATTTTGCTCCAGATGAATTTATATTGTGCAGCTCTGCTGGGATCAAAAGTCCAAAGTTTCTTAGGGGACCAAAATAGTGCAGGATCTCAAAGTAATAACAATCACTTAGAACTCCCTACCACATTCCAACACAATTCACCACTGAGCCATGTGAAATTGCCACACAGCTCAATAAACATGGCATCCTAAAATGCCAGTGGCTCAAATGCCTGCAAATGAAACTACCTGAAAGCACCAGAAAACCCTGCATGACTGACTGAAGAGCTGCCTTTAGATGCATCTGGCACATGAGCCACTTTTCCCTTTAAGAATACTAAAGAAAGAAACCACCACCTACAACAGAAACATTAATGTTTTGCAGTGTAACAACCCAAAATCAATTAGTGCACTTAAAGAAAAATTCAGAAAAACATGATGTATTAAAACTATTTCTAGTGAGACAGCTGCTATGTAAGACAAAGTGCAAAGCACAGGACAGCATAAACCAGCATAAATGGACTAACAGGGTAGGATGGACTATTTTATATGTTCCCACCTCCTAGATCTTCCGAGTTTCAAAAGAGGACAAGGAATAGCAAAGACAGACTTGTACCATTGGCACATAACAAAAGAATTAGGATCTATGCAAAGACAGCTACCAACCATCAGAGAAAGGCCCATAACACTGCAAATGTTGGTAAGACAGGAGAGACATTCATGTAAGAGAATTATTGTGAAGGAATATGAAAAGCTTTGGAATATAAACAACACATGCAAAATGTTATCCAAATTTTATCCCACTTTTAAGCTGTCACACACATATCTAATCTTAAGAAAATGTAACTGGTTTTTGAGAAAAACTTTCCAGTTCTACAAGCAGAATTGACCTGCATCAGCTATTATGAATTTGAGGCACAACAGTGACTCAGACCTCTGATAAACTCTATCTGACTTCATTTTGCTCTGGAAGACCCTGCAAGATCAGTCTGATCAGCACTGCAGGACAGCCTAGACTTGAACCGTCTCAACTTTTGATCATTTTGTTTTAATCCAAACTTTCAAAGAAGGTTCTATTTTCTGAAGCCCACACAAAACTGCATCTGCAACATCATATCAGGATAGCAGAAATACGTACCTGAGGCACTCCAATCCTTCTGCAAGCTTCCAAGAAATTCTCCACGTTTCGTCTGCATTTTGCCATTGTAAGTTTAGGCTGCAAAAAAGCAAAGGCATACAGTGTTCTTAACTGGCAAGATTTTAAAAGATTTTTATTTTTTGTTTAAATAAAACTCTTAATAAATCTCTTTGCCAACAACATACTGCACTGACATAAGCTTGTCTAACTCAAAGCAGGCTCTGCTGAAGTTTGCTTTACTTAGAAAACCAAGCCCAATTTTCAAAGTTGTTTTATGAAAAGCAAAGTTATGAATGCTTAATGTTTTTTAAAAAAGAACAATCCTAAGCTCTGCAATATTTATAAACACAGTGTTATATAAAACTGGCTAACACTTTTACATGATTATTGTAAAAAATGGTTTAACTCTACTCCAGCCAAAACCAGCACGCTGGCTTTCATACTGAGATTCCAGAGCAATTTCATTATACGAAGCAATCTAGAGTCTATTGTGGATTACTATAATGCAAAAATATATAAATATCAAACCCTATTTCAATTAACAAAGAGTTAAAAAAAAAAGGTTAGATGAAACCAAAAAATAACTGAAGCTTGCTGCTTGTCAGCCTCTTGTAGATGTGTTTGATGTAGCTGTTTGAATTGCACTCACTGGCATTTTTCAAGTGAGGGTTTTTCTGCAGTCAGCTTTCACACCTCTCCAGACATACCACAGCACAGGCTCTGTCTTGTTTCTGTTCTCGAAGCTTACTCCTTTCTGGTTCAAGAGACACAAGCTCCCTGCTCCCCTGGACAAGCTACTCACAGTCTATGTAGCAGCAGCCAGTGGCCTCTGTGAGTTCAACACTTCCATAAGTGTTGGGGCTTCTTCTCTCCCCTCCACATGCTGCATTTCCCCACCAAGGAAGCAGGTTAAAGGCCAGCACTGACTTCTTCCTCCCAAAGGATGAAGGGAATACAAAGATCACATTGTGCCTGGGGAATGACACTGTGCCTCTTCTGCTCCTGGAGCCACGTGACTAAAGGCTGCCTCTTCCTTGGGATTCACATGACAAAGCCATGATTTAATTCCTCACATAGAATATTCAGGAGCTCACAAAACCAGGCCATTGAAAAGATCTTCTCGGTGACACAAGTCTTCTGAGCAGTTGCTACATGCCTTTGCTCTGAAGGATTCCACAATCTGCCTAAAATGTTGCTGTGTCCAGTTCAATCCTTCTCAAAATAACGAGGGCATCTGCCTGTCCACAATGATACCATTGGTAGCCCTGCAAGTGCCAGTTCAAATTCCAACCAACACAAAGAATGACTCCAAAAGAAGGATAAGTGAGCACTACATGCATATTTCAACTTCTTCCCTCAGTCTTCAGTTTTTTTCCTTTATTCATACAATTTAAAGGTGCATAACAAGCAATTTGTCTGTTCATACTACTTTTAAGTAGCTGATCCTAAATATTTTCACTAAACTTTGAATTCTTCAAACACAGATTAGGTAAATAATCTGCTGTTACCTTGCAGTTTTTGACCTTTCCTTAATTCTGTGCTTTCCCTCAATGATACACAGTAATGTGGTCAGAAACAGATCACCCTCAGTGCTTTCCAGAAACACTGAGCCAGGCAGGGTAAGAGAAACAACTTCAGAAATTTTCAAATTCTCTGTGTGCTTCCCTCCTCCTTGCTCTCAACAGTCCCCTGACACAACAACCTTTTTTTCCTGTTATCACAGAGGTATGACTGGATTTGTTCAGTTCCAGGAGATGGTGTTCTCCAAGTAGTTTGAGTGTGCTCTGCTAAAATTCCTAAGCAGAGGAATTTCTAGGGCTGTGGACACAGGAATCAACTTAGTCCCTCCGCCTGTTTTGAATGTCTTCTGTAATGGGATCCTACTTGTTGTAGAGAATGTTTTAATTCCCCACTATCTGTTTTCCTGAACTTCTCAGATGTTTTGATCTTTTGAAATATCCTATTTCAGTTTTCATGATGAACTCTTACTTCACTAGTCTTCAACTTAACATGTTTAGGGAGGACTTGAAAATGTTAACATTTGCTTACAATCTGTGTCAGAAGTAACTTCATTTAAATGAAACAAACCCAAACAGAATTTCTTTTAATGACACTACAGACCTGTTTCAAACAGGACAGATGGTTACTTTTTCGTCATGTAAGTCCACAGAGAACACTCGGTTTAGCATTTTTGTCTGGATCACAGGACTTTGTTGGATGTTATTCTGGACAGCTATAAAATACTGTCATTATTACCCACTTACCACAGCAGGGGAGGGGACGTGAATGCTGGGGACAGAGCGGGGCCGCACGTGGTTGGCCAGATGGCACAGGACAACACCGTCGGTGAGAGCGGCTCCCAGATCGCTGGGCAATGACACCTTCAGCCGCGACTCGATGTTCTGCGGAGAAACGGACACACACAGGGACTGAGGGCTGGCTTCCTCCAGCAGATCCATTTGCACAAGTTTGTACAAGGCAGAGCTCCTGCATTCCAGCTCTGTCCATCCTCATGGCATTTCCAACCAGCCTTCTGAATAACCTCAAGGGAAGCTCTGTGCACTACTGAGGCCCAGAGCCGGCCGCAGTCTGGGAGCAGTTGAGTTCAATGAAGAACAGTTTCATCGTACAGCACAGTGGACTAATACAACCATTATTCAAAAATAATGGAAATCAGGATCTAGGAATAGTATTCCTAACCTTACACATTCTCAGAGAACAGTTCTGCCAAGGGAAGTGAAAATAATTGCCTTCGTGGCTTGGAGGACAATACAGTCAACAAAAGTCAAGACAACATTTTTGCCTTTAAATAAAAATCTGAACTACTCAGCATAAACAGTCCTTTAAAAAGGAGGTAGTTATAGCATTTGTATAAGAGAATGAATAAAAATTCAATTCAACTTTCAAACTATTTAAAATAATGCTGTGTGAATTTCACTTTTAATACTGTATCTAAATTTTTAAGTATTAAAAAAAGATTTAAGCTTACCCGGGAAGTAGAACAAGAGACAGACTACATACTGAACATTCTGGGATAAAAGAAGAGAGGGTTTGCAGACAGCACCAAGTTTTGTTTTACTTAAGGTAACTTTCTTCTTTTAGACAAAGATTGTCCTTACTTTAACAAAGAGAAGAAATTCTCTTTGTCCATCTGGGATGCTTATGGCTTTTAAGATTAGCTTCAACAAGTAAATTCTTATTTATTGGGAAAATTCCAACAATTGATGAGAGCACCTCAAGGAATCCCTTCACGTTCTCCAGAAACAAGTCTGGGGCAAAGTAGGGCAGTACCTTAATGCCATGTGGCATTTTCAATATTCATGTTTATTGTGGTTGCATCTGGAGACAAAATAGGAGCGCGGTGGCCCTGGACAGACAAGAAGTGCAAATATAAGAAACATTTGTGTCTCAAATGTTCTGCACTTAACTAAGGATAAGGCAAGAATCAATAGACAGATCCAGAACACACAAGGAAACCATACTGTCAGCATGACTGGCAGCAGTCTCTGCACTCCATCTGCTTTTCTGTGGGCTTTACAGCAAAGAGGAGTTTTAAAAAATGGATTAAAAGAGGACAGTGAGGCAATTTTCCAGGGAGTTCCTTACAAGTGTAAAAGCTGATGAGAAAGAAAGGAAGCACAAATTCATGTTAAAAGCAGAGTTCACTGGACACTCAGAAGTAGGAGTCAGCATACTTTATCTTACAGAATTTGAAGATGACTTTATCTACCACAAACAACCAAGTGAACACCACTGCACCCATCTGAAGGAACCACAGAGACTGTACCATGCCACTTAATTTTGGTCAACTATGCACCATATTGGGCCAGTGAAACTGGTGCAGAAGACAAAGGCAGATTGAGCAAGGTCACACAATTCCTACAATGTCCACGTTCTGGCTCTTGGCAGCACTCACCTTGCGAAGCTGCTCTATCAGCTCCAACTCTTCCTCTCGCTGTTTGGAGTTTTGTCTCACTTGAGGGTCTGCAGAATCATTAGCAGGAGACAAGGCACGGGTAGAGGATGAAGCTACAGCTAGAAGAGAAGCATGAAGAAAAGAAAATCACTAAGCACCGTTTTGCTCTGTGTCATTTGGTGCTGCACGTGAAGAACAGGGACAGTACATTCCTTTCCACAAATCTTTCTTGCCTTTAATTATTAATCAAACTAATGCTCTACTAATCTAAAGGAGGTGTTCTTTAACACATTTTTCTTTCTGTTGAGATTCTGTTCTTTCTGTTGGGTAATAGCCATGCCCAAATGAGGACAAAGTTTTGCCAGATGCAGTATGTTGAAGTGGTTCAGTCTTTCTCCAGAAATTGCAATTCTGGTGTATGCTACCGTGCAGTGCAAAATTTATCAAGCTGCCTTCACCAGTTGTTGAAGGCTTGTGTGGCAAAGGTGCAAGCACAGACCAGGAAGAACAAATTCTCATATTTCCACAGATATGACAAAGGAATATCTGACAGCTCTAAACAAAAGTTTGTTCACAAAGTATGTAATGCCACCTGTCTAAAAATGGCACTCTAAAAGCAGTTTGATTATAAAGACCTGAAGTAACCAAACACTGCAAACCCCAGGTAATGCAGATGTCAATATAATGTAGCAAAACTAGCTGTTTTCTGAGCTATATAACCTACCTTTCTTGGCTTCATCCCTGACAGCTGTTCGGAAAAGGAAACTCTCAGGTCGCTGGGAAGGGTTTCTATAGGAAGGCGGGGCTGCATGGCCAGGATATGGAGGGGAAAGGTGGACTAAACAAATGTGAAAAGGCACAGGAAAGGAAGGAGGAAGAAGGAAATGGTTAGAGTTTAAATAGGAAATGGGTTCAGCAATGTGGTAATTAAAAAGAACAAACCAAAAATTTTTATGTAATAATGACAAAATAAATTACAGCCATGCATGATAAAAGCACAGAGCAGGAAAAGGCACTTCCAAGGACACTTGCATGCAAAGCACATTCCACATACCAATTCCAACAACTGTTCTGACTCTTGCTGAATGCATCTGTGTGCCAAAGCCTGCATGAAGGCCTAAACCAGCCAAACCCTACGCTCTGCCTGAGGACATGTTTCATCCCTGTTGTCTCTTCCCTCACGTTTTTCTAAGGAGACCCAAATAACTGGGTAAATTCTCAAACACAGCAGTGCCACATACAGAGATAGGAACAGATGTTCCCTTCTCTTCATAGGACAAAGAAGCAAGCAGGCATTTTGATCTTATTTTTCAGAAATTTTTCTTCCTTTCCCTGTTACCTGTCTGAGTGGTAGGTGAACCAGAGGAGATGGTAGATCTGTCATCACTCTGTGAACAAAAAAGCAGAAGAGTATAAATGGTGCTAATCTGGAAAAGCTGTGACTACATTTTAATTTGCTGTGTTTTAAAAAAAGCTCCATCATCTAAATGCGTTGTTCTCAAAGTCTCATCTCTGCAGAGATAAAGCTTTTTCCTTTGCAGAAATGACACAAATGCTTTTTTCTGAGGAAATCAATGATGAAACAGCACTGACTGTTTACTCTTCCTTCCAACCCAAAGTGAAAAAGTATTCTTTGCAAAGGGAACACCAAACCCCAGGTATTTAGCAATATGCAAAACTGGCATTACAGTGGCCTCAATAAAGATACACCTTTTTGACACCTTTGTTAATGCAAAACTGCTATTTACTGAACATCCCTCCCCAGTGAAACACACTGTGGTTTTATCACAGTGCTTACACAGGCTAATGATTTCTTGTGAGAAATGCATTCAGTATAGCAGCTTCCACAGAAGAGAAAGAAACAGGTAAAGAGTACAAGTGTACTTTTGATGAACTCGATCAAGAGTAAATGATCTTGTACAGAAAAAGTAACATCAAAGACAACCAAGAACCCCTCCGAGCAGAGACTGGTTACCATGTTTTTATAGATCAGGCCTCCTGTAGACACAGCCTAAAGCTAAGATGAGGTAATACCTGCTACAGTTTAATCAGGTGAATCGGATTCATACCCTACCTGAACTTTTGATTAGACGCTGACAGACTAACACCTGTTAAAACAGATGTGTGGATCCGAGATTTTTTGTTGGCTCTACTGGTGAATGATAATAGCAAGAGATACCTTGACAGGACTGAAGGTAGAGGCACTAGGCAGGGTAGTAGCACAGCTTTCTTGGTTCAACCCTGAGAGTGACTGAATGCAGAAAGAAAGAGAAGGCAGTAGCAGAGTTAGAGAGCAGCTGACAGGTCATGCACAAAGGTGGAATGCAGCAAAGTTCAAAATGAAGAGGTGACCATGATCACATCCTCAGAAACACTCAACAAGCAACAGATCCATACTTGCTAAACTACATTTAAAGCCTTCCTATCCTCCTGAACTTTCTGGCTAATAAGCCTGGGAGGTGCAATGTTTCTTTTACACATAACACAGTGACATTAAAACAAGAATTAAGAACAGTAAGTGAGGCAAAAGCTTCTTTAGCAACACCTATGCCATCAGAAAAAAGGAAATTTTACCCTACAACAGTCCAATCTAGGCCACTATTAAAAATAAATAGCTTTCTTTTTAATGTTTTGAGAATGCTGTGCATTTTTAGTCACTTATTTTCCTATCAACTTTGTAAAATCTGAGAAACTCACATATAATGGGGTCAATAATACGTACTTTGTGTTTGCCACAAACACCTAACGCTGATCCTTGTGATTACACACAAAGTAAATGAGATTCTGTGGGTGGAATCTACCTCTTAGGGAAGATGTCAGTGTCAGAATTTACAGTGCTGCCATAAATAAAACACAGCCAACATTTCAATTATCACCAATATGAAACCCAACCAAATAAACAACTTTTCCTGTTTATAGAACAGGGACTCCAGTGTGCCCATCTGTCACTGACAAGTCAATCTAAAGGGCCAAATTCTGTGTCTTCTGTTATCAACACAGTAAACATTTGAGGACTGAATGGCTCAAGAATAAAACTATACTTTCTGAAACAGCACTCAAATAGCAAAGTGAGGAAAGAGGAATGTTCTTTCACAGGAAAGAACATCAAATGACACCTAGAAACTCTACAGGTAGTGAAAGACACACTTGGGAATGTTAGTATTTAAAACATTTGCAACTATTCTGCCACTTCAGAACAGGACAGCACAGCCAGAAGGACTTGAAGGAGAGGTTTATACTCAGGGCAAACCTTGCACACAAACATCTTTAAGCCCTGTCCAGATTTAACAGCTGATCCTCAAGACAGCCTCTTTCTCCAGAACAGGACAGAGCCAAAATCGTGGGTTTGTTTTGGTTTGTCTTTTTTAAGAGTTTCAAAATATCACTTGACTTTCACAACACATTAGCTAGCACAGGAGAACAGTAAAATAAACCACAACTGGGTGGGCTGTAACATTAAGGTATGTGTTTATTCCTGTATGAAAAGAGCAGGGCAACCTTGACACAGACTAACAAGAAGTCATCACAATGCACGTACCCAGCAGTGGGCGAAGGGAAGGGGAACACGGCACAGCACAGGGCAGGACAATCACAACAGCAACACACCACATGCTCTTCACCTGTTTGCGAGTCCCTGGCCTCCTTTTAATGGTATTGGTGTTATTGTCAATCTCAAACACAAAGAGAGGCTCAAAGCCATTCTGTCAGGGACAGTAAGGAAAGAAAGAGAGGGAAGAAAGGAAGAAGTAAGGCAAAGAACGACTGTAAGAAAAGGTAGCCACAATACTAGAGGAGCCAGGATGCTGCAGTTCAGACTCACACCACCCTCTGCACATGCTGCACGTGGCTTTTAGGTCTAGCACTGAAGTCAGAGAAATCTCCCTGTGCCAGGAACAACTGTAGATACAGGGAGTGCCAAAGCAAAGCCCAACCAGCACCCTGCACAAACCAAATAAGGATATTCCAAGGGAATTCGGTTTTTAAACATTTGAATATACAAACAGATACCAACGGTCTGAGTGAAAACTCCAGGATACAATTTAGCATAATTCAAGTTCTGCTTACTTTACCCATACCATTATTATTTGTAACACTCTGGTGCCTAAGAGCCTTAACTTAAAATGTTTCTGAGATCCCATGTGCTAACACTAACATGACAGCCTCAGGCCATGTTTGGGAGCACAACAATAAAACACAAAACAAGGAAGGGAGCACAAGGCAGCAATGACACAAAGGTTGTGAAAGGAAGAGGTCACTGCAGCTGCCTGATGCTCATTAAGCACCTCATGGGCTTCACAATAGAAAAATTAAGCAGCAGTTAGAGAGGATGTTTTGGGGTTTTGTTCCCTTCCATAGTGCTAACCTTGTAAGGGACAGTATAGGAGAAAACAAGAAGACATTTAAAGGAAAGTGAGATTTAGAAGCAATGAAGGCTGAAATCATTAGCCAAATCTAAAACCTTGATACCAGCTCAACAAGTAATCTCAATTGTAATGAATGGGACCACCCTTCTGAGAACAGCAAGAGCATACGGCTAGCATAAAACTTTTATTTTCTCAGAGAGGCCAGTGATTACATTTATTCAACATGTTACTTAGTCTGGTTCTCACAAGTCAACACAAAGAAATCCACCACAGCATGCAATGAAGTACTAAAGCCAGCCTCCACTTCACTTCAAATCACAGGTATGCAGAAGGAACTACAACTAAACTGAACCCCTAACATGCATAGAAGGTAAGGGCAATCATTTTGGGACTTCAAACAGACTGTCCCGAAGTTGTTTATAAACAGAAGGAAATGGTCAGAGTAAACTGTGCAACGTGAATACATTTTACCTTTAATTACTGATAAAAGACAACAAGAATACAACCAAATGAAACACCAAAGATTTTAAAAAGGAGATTCACAACTTAAATCTTGGTTTTAAGAAGTTTCTGTTAAAGCAGTGACAATACCAGACGAGTGAAGTAGTAAAATAAAAGGAAGCTCACTTGCTTTCTAACTACCTATTAGACTTAGTACTTTTAAAAGCCTTTCCTCATGTCCTCAGAAAGTAGACCTAGCTAAATTTCAAATCTGTTAGGGAAAATGTCAAATGAAATGCAATAAAATATAAAAAAGTAAAAGGAATAAGGAATTTCAAGTCTAAAGACAAACTTTTTTTTTTAAAAAGCAAACTGATGAACATTTCCTTGCTGTTTTTATCATATAAAATATATTTGTGGAAACAAAAAATGCTACAAATTCATGAGCTAGTATGGGCTTAATGTTCCAGTTACAGTAATTGCCAGAAACAGCTGCCCTGGCATATGTCATCATTAGACACAGGGTGTATTTCCACTACAGAAAAGAGCTGCAGATCATACTTCAGCAGTTCAGAAACCCCAGCATTCCATATACTATTACAGTTTAGCGCTGCTGAAAAGAGCAAGGAATTAAAAGAAAAACGAAGAGGAATGATCACTTCCAATGTTTTCCTGCCAGCCTGGTCACTTTTTTTGTGAAGTGGAGGGATGTAACTTGGTTAAAGACACAAAAGAAACAAACAGCAATGGAAGCCAGTTTCAAAACAGTTTCTGAAAATTCTATCTATTAATTTACAACAAAAGTCATGTGATCACACAATCAAATAGAAATGGGGTCCCTTAAAGGTATCTTTAAAATACATTCCAAAGATGAATTCACTGACAACAGAGTATCAACTCTTAACCCAAACCACTGCTGTTCTCCTACTTCTTATTATCTAAATACAAAAGCACATTTTAATATGCTCATTGATTGTGATTTCTCTAAACAGACACATGATCATTAAACCTCTCTCCAATATTTTAAGCTTTCTTTCTGTCCCACACAGTACTAGTCATATGAAATCAGGAAAACGAAAAAGTCTGAATAAAGACACAGTAAATATCTTGACCAACATGTTCAGGAGAGAGATATTCTAACTGAGAGCACTGCCTAAAGAAAATATAGGCAGACAATTGGAAGCACATAAATTAAGAAAATAAATTCTAGGCATGCAGTCATGCAACAGCAGGCAAATCAAGTGTATTTTTTCTTTTATAGACATGGATTATGGCATTATATTCTTTTATTATGCTACATTGCTAAGATGCCATAAAGGAAGAAATAGCATAAAACATGAATTATGTACATAAATGTTTTTATTTTTGGTAAGTGGTGAAAATAGATGATCTTTAAGACATTTTCATCAATAAACAATAAAATGGTATGAGGAATATTTCATGATTTGTAGCATTCATATGCAGAGCAGTTTTTTCCTGTGCCAAGTATTTCTAACCCCCATGTGCAGGATGCAGACAGGTTAAAGTAGAAGGCTGTACTCCAAGCATTAAAATTGCTTACTTGACACTGAAGAGCACATCAATTAGGAAGCAGCTGAACAGAGAAGAAATCAAACCAGAACAACTAGAGGTGAATTTTTCATTTTGGAAACTGTTCTTTACTATCAGTAGTTTTCTTTTGCTCTCAGCAAAAGACAAGCTTTAATTATTTTGTGGAAAACCATAACTGTATTATTAATCAATAGCTGACAGCAAAAGCGTCAACATATTCATAACATTATAGTTCACAGCTAAGCTACTTCTCAGTGAAGATGGTCATGTTTTATGCTATTTAGATTAGCTCTAAATCAGTTGGTCTAATCTGAGACAATCACAACACATTATTTCTATGCTCTAGAATCTGCCACATAAAAAGGCCATGACGTGCAGGATCTTACCACTAACAAGGCACTATCATCAGTATGCTGAGACCTTCTGGATGGAAAGGGACACTGGGAGGTGGGAGAGATGGAGTAATGTCAGAAACACACACAGTGTCAGAAACACATGGTATGAGAACAGACAGACAATTTTGGAACACGAACTGCTTGCTTATCACACTGTGAGGCTTTTTAAAACAATCCATGAAGTGCATGAAACCCTGTAGGAACACACAGCCATGTGACCCATGAATTACAGTGCGTTCGTACTAAGGAATCAATTATTCTGCTTTCTATGTTGTCTCAAGCAAATACAGAAAACTGTGCATTGACAGTGCTTACTGTGGTGGAACAAAGGACCCTTTAAAAGAATAAATTAAGAACAGAAAAACATTAAGAAGAAAAAGGAGCAAAAACTATTTCAATTACCCCATGTTTTGGTAATTGTCTAACAAAAAAGAGCAGTCAAAAAATGCTGCTAAAGAACGATTATATTCATTGTATCATTAAAAGTTTTGATCTGATTAACACTACCAAGTGAATTATCTTTCTCTGGATGCAAGTGGGGATGGCAAGCAGTGGAAGAACTATTACTGTGCAGAAATCTGATGCAGAGACTGAACAGATGCCATTGGTTCAGCTCTGTATATTCTAGAAGAGTGAGCCTTGTATGATTTGTATTCCCCACTGACTTACTGGTTTTGATCACAAAACTATAGTAGAATAAAACTTTAAAAAATATTTGTTTCTCTGATAGCCCTCAAAATTCTAATACTTAATATTTCTGGGATAACTTGTGATCTAATAACAGGAAACTGGGAGAAAACTGATAAGTGAAGGATGACTGTAACACAGTAACTTGTCTGAATATTGTTAGCAAATAAACTGTACTGCTCAAAAGGAGCATGTTAAAATGGAATATGAAATCTGTTTTCTGCAGAGAACATAGAAAACATACAAGAAACAATAAAACAACACACTTGGACAGGCAGTCTACATGAACAGAAGGAAATACTAGACTGTTCCCATAAGCAAAAAACCCCAACCCTAGGTTTAATAATGCATGAAAAAACTATGCTATAACCCAGTTCTAAAGAATCCTCCACAACCAGGAAAACACTTCTGACATCCCTAGTAATAATCTTACTGGACTCTTACCTCACTATCCAGAGGACTTTGCTTCTGAGGACTTAAGGATGCTTTTTGCTATAGAGAAAAAAGAAAAATGAAAATAATAATACAAAAGCTCAGAACCAATCAGCATAATTTAGAAGCGTTTTAAAACAGAACTCTCAGTTTTTAAATAAAACATGCATTGGGGAAATTGCTAGTTTCCACTCAGCTGAAACTTCACTGTTAGTTAAAAAAAAGCCTTCACTCCACATAAGACAAAACCCCCAATTTAAAAAAAAATTATGCATATGAAAGATGCATAAGAAATCCAAAATATAACCCAAGGGAGGAATTTAACTGCTAAGCGTCCATGAATAACAAAGGCAACCGAAGGGAAAAAACCCAACAAATCCAAACCAAAAACCCCCAAGAGGCTCATCAATGAACAAAATGCATCCTATACAGCTAAGTATTTAACTGAAAGGTTGAGCTGAATCTTTAATAAAGCAGCTTTACTACAAAATAGTGCCAGGGGCTTGAGAGTAGCTGGTGCTAATGAAGAGCCCAGTTTCAGGCAGTTAAAACCCTTTTTCTAAACTAACTTTACAAAAGAAATAAATGCAATAAACCATTATTTGCCTCTCTGCAGACCACTCTAAGCCCAAAATATTAACTGTAACATTTCTTAAATTTGTGATTGTGAGATTTGGGTAGGTTCCCAGAGCAGTAAACAGTAAAATAAATTTAAGTCAACTAGCATGTTAAGCAGCAGACTACTTCATACTGACTGCAGTGACAGAGAAAGTGAAGACCCAGTGTCCACAGAGAGTCTGATGTACCATAAGTCTGCACCCATGCTTTACCTGGAGGTAACTTATTTTATTACTATAAAATAGCAAAGTAGATCAGGTAACATTACATTTTTGTGTGTATGATTCTCTCCTCCCTGCCAAATTTGCCTTCAAAATTACAGTGCCTCTATGCCTTCTCAGATATATACCTTTCTTATACCAACCCTGTCACATGTATCCAAATGAAAATTGAGTAAACGAGGAGGACTATGCAAAACCAGAATTCTTTGCAACACTCATATTTTGGGTGAATCTTCCATTTACTCCCCAGTTCTAACTTTGCTTATTTTAAGCTACAGCATCAAGACTGAATGGACTTCAAGTTAGCTGACGATTTTCTTTATAAAGTGCGGTGCCCGCCCAGGAGCATAACGTACAAGTATTAACGACCTTGGCAATCAGTTATAATTCCAGGATTCAGAAAAGACAAAGTATCAAGTAGGTACTAAAGGGAGGTACCTTAACAAAGTCAAGGACAGCTTCTCTCTGGATCTGCTTTGTTCTCATCCTCTCCTCCTCGTACTGAAGCGCTGCCAGCTGAGCCTCCCGACGGGTGCGCTCGATGTGCCTGCGGTGCAGCTCGGAATCTGTGCTAGGCACCTGGAATAAAACAGTGCATCAGGCTGTAAAGTCAGAGCTGCAGACAGGTTATGGAGTAACAGTCCATGTCTTATGGATAACAAAGGTTTGGTATTGCATCAAACTCATCCAAAAGAATTAAACAGTGGAGTTCAATGTGTTACCTGACTGTGGTGACTCGACAGCGAGAGAAAATAAGGCGAGTCAGGCAGGGGTCTGACAAATGCAAAAACAGAGAGAAAGTAGACTTTTTAACTTAAATATAAAAATTTTGCATACATGAATTGCCAGTGACACACAAGCATCTTATCAAATCAGAAGAGTAACTGTTTAGTAAGCAAAGCTCTTTAACTGCTGTGATTGTGATTTAACTGACTGTGCATGACAGATTTTGTGAAGTCATTTCTATCTCTTCTCCTTAGTTGTGATAAAATTTTTCTACAGCCCAAGATGTAGAAAGCACAAGATGTACCAATGGGATTGTAATGTATGTACTCTATTCTCTACAGTAACCAAACCAGGAACTTTCCAGATGATCTTCATATAGAGGAACAACTGGCTATTATGGTTACTTGGGGGGAAAGGAAAAATAACAAAATTAATCAGTAGAAACCATGTTTCTTTTCCCTACCTCTCTGTCCTGTCCACATAACTCCTTAGTACTTGGTGATGCTCTTTGTCCTGCATCAAATTTAGAGTTTCAGGTCTTCGTAATTCATCTGTATCCCTGCAGGCAGACACCAGGTGGAAGGGGGATTGGCCACTGATGCATATAAACTACTGTCAGATGAATTCTTCTCTAGATTAAAACTGTTTTTCTAAGAGAATTGCCTAGACAATTAGCTTCAGATAATCACAAAGGTGAAATTTAATATGACTAAAGAAATCACACTGTGATACCAAGTTAGATGACAACTACTGCAGTTCATAATTAAATAAATGTAACTTGCTTAGTTAACAATGATGTCAAAATACAAAGATGGATTCTCTCTTTTAAGACTATATTTTGGTTATTGCAGGCCTTACTCTGCTCTGGAAAGAGCAAAATTATTTTTAAACATCAGTTCCCTTTGACATTTTCAGAACAAATCTGCTCCCTTCCCCGGTCAGGTGATGACCTCCCAACTGCCAGCAATACAGGCCATCAAAGTCATGAAGTAAACAAGAACCCATCTGTCTCTTATCCATCTTATCAACAATAAGAGAGAAATTTTGCAGTCAGTTCTTTGCTAGAAGGCAGTTGTCAGGACTGAAACAATTCCCAAGGTCCAGAGTCCACAGCATGTCCCTGCCATGTTGCTGCCTAGAAAGAAAGTTGATGGAAATCAAGGAGTTTGCTCTTGACAGCCCAAACTCTGTGACCTTTGTTCCTGGGACAACTGTGGAACAGAGACACACTTAACAATGCTTTTCCAAAACATGTCAGTCCAGCTGCCTGCGTGTAGACTTATGACCTTTTCTGCAGGGAGAAGTTTAAGAGATGTGGAAGACCCATATGTTACAGGTCTCCCTGGTTACTTAAATTAGCACTGAAGCACATGACAAATCCATTACTGTGCTGTTCTGAACTGACAGGACTGGGTTCAACTGAGTGCCAAGAAGTATATTCAGAGCTGAGTACACACAGCTTTGTTGCAACAGGAATGCACCACCGTCTGTCCAGAGGCACAAACTGTATTTAATGAATTGAATCAACTAATAGAAGCACTCTTGAGATGAAGTCTGCATTACATCCAACTCCAAGAGTTTTAATGGCTCCAGCATGCTGAAGAAAAAAAACCAAAGAGGCTGCCTGCCAAGGCATTTGCACAGAATTATTGTGGAAGCAGTTTACAGCTTGTGGTTGCCACAAATGAAGTATTTGCCTAATACAAGCTTAAAATATAAAAAATTACTCATTGTCATATGGCTGTTTTTACATAGCTTTGAAGGCAATAACAACAGGACCTCTTTTTTATTATTAAGAATTTCACCCTCCTGCAGTATAACATGAATAAGCTAAAATTCATTTAGATCGTTGATTAATTACTTCCACATGAAGACCTGCTGCTATCCTTCAGTTAAATTTTGAAAACACTGGATTACCCTAGTGAACTACAATTTCCTTTATCATTAACATCTGTCTATGTAAACAGCACCTCTCCCCTGGCTAACCAGCCTTTCTGCATTTCCTTCAGAAATAACGTGGAAACCAGTGTTTGTAAAGTCTAATTATTTCCATGCTGACAACAAATGTTCAAATCGAAAAATAAATGAACAAACAAACAAAAAAATCAAGTCTTTCAGACCAAGAGCACCCACTTTATTTGGGGAGAACATGTCAGACTGCTCTTTTACTTTATGTACCTTACTTGTGGACACTACAGGATAAGGAATGCCGACATATGCTGAAGGAGTTTCCCTCCCTTATATCAGTGCAGCTACTGTATCTACACATTTACTGCACATTTCAAAATGTCCATTAGACGTTGCCAAAACTCTGGAAAAATTTATACACTACTCTTGGTTTAATTTTCTCTTTCAATACCATTTTAGAATCCATTAAAAATTAACTTCTACTGACAGTGTAAGTAATGACATACTTAAGACTAGCAGTTGTCTTTCTTTTTTTCCCCAAACAAGTACAACTGGGGTGGTTTTCTGTGGAGTCTTTGCACATTCACTTTCACTCCACAGAATACTGAAATGCTTCAATGGCGTATTAAAGGTTCTATGATTTTTGATTATAGTTTCATTATCAAAAAGCTATACATTTGCTTATCTTCTGGTCTTTTAACTAGACACCCAAAAGTCTTTTCTTAAACCTAACCACCCCTCATTTATACTCTGTCCAACTCTGACCCTTATTTTACAGATAAGCATTCCCTCCAATAAGCTAAATCATCATTAAAGACAATGGGCATAGTCAAAAAGTCTACTTCATTAAACTAAGTGACCTGTTTTCAGGTCTGACTCCAATTCTATCCCTTCTTCTCCTGATGTAAGCTCATGATTATGGCACAGAAAAGCACATTTTAAATTACAGTGACCCCCCACAGTACTAGAGCTACCAACAGTCAATCAAGACTGTGACCTCATGGCCCATCACATACTCCATAGTGACCCTATGTTTCCACTAAACCTGAAGTACATTTATCCCTTCAGTCCTTTATGTAATATAGCATAAGTGAAGTATTTCATCAAAGCACAAATTACATCCCAATAAGCAGATATTAAATCAGTTTAAAAGTATACACTTTAATTAGGCATATTTTTTTAACCAACTGATTTAAAGCTGAGCATTGGCCTAGAACAGCCACTCCTTTTGCTCACTGCCATTATTAGAACTCAAATTCCCAATCTGGAGCAGCAACTTAACAATAAAGTGCCATGTACATTGCTGGTGAGGCAACAGAAAACAATGCCTTTTTCTAAACATGTTCAGCAAATATGTGCTCTGCATTCTTCATGAAATTCTGGATAATTACTGTTACCACAGTAATTCTTACCTGTTTTGATGTAAATGCCGTCTTGTATCCTCTGTTCTCTGAAACTCTCTGATGGATGTGGGTTTTACTGGGGAGTTCTAAGCAAAAAACCACAAAAGACTAAGTTAGCAACCTATTCAGAAAACTGTACATTAAGGTCAAACAATCTCTTTGCAAAGCTACATTTGTAACTACTGGTATTTAAAATACCTGACAAAGAAGCACAAAACACAACTCCAGGATGTTCATTTCCAACTAGGCAAGCCCACTCTTATTTTTTTCTCCAATTTAAATACATATTAGTTTCAAGATTAAATATGCCTGCTGATAACTTCAGGAGCTTTAAAACCTTCACTATTAAGAATCCTCTAGAGAAGTTCATGTAGGTAGAAAACAATTATTGGAATGTATATATATTTTTCAGAGTTTAACTCTACAAATGCACAGCAGTGCAGAGTGGATTCTCAGAAATACAGGATACAGTAGCCGATGATCTTTTATGATGCTGTAAAGAGAGTCCCAGAGGGACTAAGAAAGCAAAACATGGGATGAATAAGAACCAACCCCTTAGGTTTAATTTGAGCTATGAAATCATTTACCCCATTGGGAACAGAGACACATAGCCTTTAGTGTTACTTAAAAACTTTTACTGACATCCATTAATGCAGGAAAAGAGAAACTTTTCAAGATGAACTTGCCAATTTTCAGTCGTGCCTGCATGCATAGTTAGCCTTGCTAAGTAGTAGAGTACTTTGCACTGTCTTTTGCACTCTCTTTTTAGAGAAACTACTACTTTAGCTAAAAGCAGTTTAATTTTTTTGAATAGAGAGACTCCAAGGAATAGTTTTTTTGATGCTGACAATGCCTTTTCCATATCTACAGCAAAGAGTCCTTGGGTTGACGTGCCAATAGTTGTCTTCTCTGAGTTTTGCTCTTGAGTTTGTGCCTCAAGTGTCATCACCTACTGTGATTTGATACTGAATTTATGAGATTTGCAAAATGAATTTACCTCTCATATCTGTGTGACTGATTTTAAACATAGTAAACAGTAAAGTGGACAAAATAGGGACCAGGCTGCTACATGAAACATAAAGATCTGCCTTTCTTTTTTCTTTCTTCAAAGAGCAAATATCTTTCTGCTTTAGAACACACAAAACTTTGAAAGGACACATCTGAATCACAGCACAATAGTTACTCTTTAAGCAGATCAGCCACAAAGATTTTTTCAGACAACTTATTCATGTAGTCTGTACAGTGAGCCACTGAACTGTGTAACTGTGTACATAGGTATTAATTAAGACTGACAGAACACAGAAGGAAACATTATGTGGCTGAAAATCTGTTTCTATAGGTTTGATTTTTGAGGACACTCTCCAAAAGTGTTCCATCCCAATGATTTAACAGGGAACAGTTTTCACAAAGGGTTTTCCTGGGGTGTATGAATTTAATTAATTCAAGTAAAAGCACCACCTCATTAGAGATTCGCCGCTGGTCAATATATGCCATGAACTGTGAGCTGAGGCTGTCTGAGTCCATGCACTTGGGCTGCCTCACCTCTTCCTCCTCCTCCTCTGTGGCACAGCTGTCAATATAGTCGATCTGATCGAGATCATGTTCCACTTGACACACATACACAAAGAAAACACCCATAATTAGATAACCCACAGGAGAGGAAAAGACCCAACAAAGCAGCAACGTAAGGAACTGAGGTCCTACTGTTTTTCTTCCATCTGGGAAAGCTCAGTCTAAAAGCTCTTGGATTTTGCCAGGCCCACTTTGAAACAAATTTTGAGAGAATGCTAAAATTTTTGCTTTTTAAAAAGCAACGATGAACATGTATCAAACACGTAGTTTTATACTGCTGGCTGCAGATACTTTTGCAGTGACTGAAAAAGTAAAGTAAACACTGTGATTTCTTTTCAGTACCAAATACTATATATCAAAAGCTTGTCAGCTAACACCAAGACTGTAAATGATCTGTGTAAATTTTTGAATAATTTCTCTTGGTTCCAATTAATCTCTGTCAGAAAAATTAGAATGGATATAACAGATTCTTCTACTAGTTTTAGTACTACAACAACAAAATAGAGAGCAGCATGTCTAAGTTACATTTATTGCATTTGCATCCAGATAAGAAGTGTATGTGGAAATAATGAAGAACACTACAGAAAACAACAAAACACCTCTAAAACTGTGTAAAGGTACCTGCAATTTTATTTTAAAAAGAGGAATTAAAAAAGATATTAGGAACCACTGAAATGAGAGCAAGAAACAGCACAGTTTGGTTAGTATTGATTTTCCTTTGTGTGGGAGATATTATGTAGGGCAATTTTTTCACTTGCCACTGCTTTTACACATTCTGCCCAGAGATTCTGAGAGTCATGACATTGAGTAAACCACTCAAATGAAAAATACTGTGAAAAATACTGTGCTGGGGAGGCAGAGGAAAGCATAAGCTCCCTTTCAGAGCACTAGAGCTTTTTTTTCTTAAAACTTTCCCCCAAACTTGCTCCAGACTCTCTTGCAGACATTCTTGTTCTACTCCCCCGCCCCTTTCCTGCTTGTCTAAAACAGACTTCTCTTTGCCTCACCACACAATCTAGCAACTGTTACTGCCAAAGCCACCTCCTCTGCTACTACAACCATCCAAAACAGCATTCCTATATACTTTGGCTTCACTAAATCTCCATCTCAGTTACAAATCTTAAAAAAACCCCAACATGCCAAAATTCCCCTTCTTTCCAGCCTTGCTTACTAAATAAAAATAATACCACGACCAATAATGATGCAGCAGAGGATGAAAAACATTAGTATCTGTGTTAGGAACACAGAATTGGAAAGCATCTGGGCCTCTGACAGCCACATGTGCCCCTCTCAGATACTCCTACTCATGAACTGACGGTGCTCCAACTTAAAAGGCTACAAGGCATTTTGAAATCCCTGGTGTGCAAAACCCAAAGAACAAAATAAAGTTAGTCTTGGAGGCAGAGCTGGCAGCTCTGTTAAATACCTGTTATTAAGGCTGCCCAGAGCTTCCCATGACACCATGTCTTAAATTCTTTTAACTGCCAGAATTTACCTGTTTGAACTGATTTTTTTTCCCATGAATGTATAAAAGAGTGTGAGTCAACTAAAAAGTTTAAGATATTTCTAGAAGGTGGCAAATTAAACAAAAAATTGTAGCAGAGGAGACTAAGACCAAGAAAAGAAGATGGCAAACAATGAAGATAGGGAGGAGGAGGGAAGAGAGAAGTAAAAGTGGAAGTTGGGCAGAGGAGACTAGATGTAGCTGGGAAGAGTGACACTCAGATAAAGAAAATGAACTGTAGCCATTAGGGAAAATTAAAAACAGAGAGCAGCTGAGGAAGAAAAGAAATTAACAGAAGTATAATGGGATGAGAACTCATTATAAGTAGTGCAGAAAAACTGAGAAGAAAGAATGATTGAAAAAAACAAATCTGGAAGAAGGTTAAAGTTAGGGCCTGTAGGCAAAAAGAGACAGCAGTAGCAACAGGTTATTGGAAGTTAAAATGGAGGAGGACTGTGAAGATCAAGAAACGTGGAAAGCACCATCACCTCTTGAACAACAACGAAGGTGCTACTGTAAAGCCTGTGGGACACCAACTGAGAAAGTGCAACAAAGCAACGCCACAAACACCAGTCCCTCCTAGACAGCTTGAAACTTTGGATTAAAACACAAGACTGCTGAAGGAGACACTTGTGCTACTCGGAAATACGAAATTCCCTGACAAAGCTGCTCGTTCCGTTTCGAGAGCAGTTGGCACAGAGCAGTGACAACTTACTACTGCTGTGAATTTTGCCCAGTAGCTCAAACAGTAAAACTCCATGCACCAAAATTCAATATTCTAAAATACTGTTCAAAGCAGTTGGAGACTTTAAAATAGCACATATGTAAAAGCTGACACAATGTTCTCCAGAAAATCCTAATTCTGCTGCTATTTGATTTTGCCTTTAACATCCTTAAAACAGCAGTGTTCTTACACTGTTTCCCCAACATTGCTTTTGCGTAATTCTACCTAGATCTTTCTCCTTTTTTCCCCTCTTCAGACAACCGTTTAGCAAACATTCTGGAACTTTAATGATGATGACAATACATATTGTTACCAAGGGTCACTATTTACCTCCACCATTAGTTACGACTGCGCTCCCTCGGTTTTCTTGATACTGACTCTCTCTGCGCAGTCTCTGCTCCTTGGTGATCTCTGCCACACGTAAAGGGAGATCTGAGAACTCATCTGTTGGCTTTGGAAAACAAACAGTGAAGTCAGGAAACCCTTTTCTTCAGAAAGAACATCTTGTAAGCTACTCTCTCTTGACTTGTGATTTTACTTCAATTGTCCTTTTTGCACCTACAAAACACTAATTTAAAGAAAATTCAGCTATAGTGTACTGTTTTAAGAAAATATGTGGTTAAGCTTTCTTTAAAAACCAGTTTGGCTACAGTTTTGCTTGCAGTATCTGCAAGTGCTTGAAAAAATCCCAGGATGGAAAGCCCCAGAACCCTCTCAAAAACCAAGCTGGGAGTGCAACCAGACATATGGAGCAATGGAGCATAGCTCACTGAGACACTTTAGGTCTTGGCTACTGCCTTTTCTAGTTATCCCAAGAGGAAAAGAAAATCTCTTTCTGGGAAGAACAGTTGACAGTCTCTTTGCTAAGAGATCCCATCTTCCTGCTTCTAAATGGCAAACGGATTTCAAACAAGGTGCAAAGAAAGAAGAAAAAATTTCCATCTGATTTTTAGTTTTATTTTCATGTTCAGATTTGTTTCATTGACTCAGCATTGTTTATACGATACAGTTATAAGATTTTTTAAAATGAGGAATGCCATTTTCCTCATCTTTTATTCTCCAGCAAATTAATCTGTCATGCACTGGTTTATACATTTCTGTTATTATTTCAAACTTTGAGTCTGTCCCATATGAAATTATGCTTGTTTTAGACCAATAAAGCAGGAAATAACTGTGGCTCAAGGCAACCTGCACACTAGCACACATATATTACCTATGGATTATGCTTCCAGATGTATATGCTTAGTTCTCTGTTCAACTCTGCACTCAACAAAACCAAAGCTGCAGCACTTACTTCATTCCCTGACCATCTTTTGTCTCCGCTGTCCACACTATTGAAGCCAGAATCGAGTGCTCCATACGGACGACTGGAATAGAGTTCCTCGTGGCTGTCAAACACACAGTTTTAGTTACTCTAATATAAACACCACCAAAAGCTTCTCAGCTATTACAGAACAAAAGCAGAATAAGCCACCAAGCACAGTTGCAGCGTGTTCACAAGCTCAGCATGTTTGAAAGCCTCACATTGCATTTGCCACATAGAGCAGGAGGCGAGTGCTCACAACTCAGCATCCTTGTCAGTCAGCTGTCACCTGCCACTGGCTGGCCTTTTAAGAGCTAATCTGATCCAAAGTATATATTCATACTTTAAACATTTCCCAAATAGAAATTATGACAAGGAGAGCTGCAAAGTGGTCTCATATTTTGCCGTTTAACAAGTCAAATTTTTATTTTCTACTACTTGTATGTTTTGGTTGAAAAACTGTCTCACAAGCTCTTTCATAATTAAGCATAAACCCTTGCAATATTACTAAAATCACAGAATATACTACTTCTACACAAAGTACACAGCATGTATTACATAACTGACTTCTGTGTCATAGTCACCTACCTAAGAAACTGTGCAGAAAGATGGACAGTATTTCAAATATTTCATAATGTAATAAATACAGAAATACAGTTTCCATCTACAAGCTTTGTCAATGACATGTCTAGACAAAGGCATTAGACATGTGCCCAGTGCTACAAGACACATAACCAAACAGCCATACAGTTCTTCTCTAAATTTCTGGGATTAAAAACTACGTAATTCAGCAGTAAAGCCATCACAGATGTCAAGTCTGGCAACTGCTGCAGATAGCTACAGTAAAAGAGACAATGGGACTTGTCTGATCCACTGCAGATGGCATTTCACAATGGCTCAACTGTCCTACTGGCACTCGATGCCCCAGGGAGAACTGCAGCAGTAATTACTACATAATACACAAGGAAGAATTAATTTCAGGAAGCTAATTGCTTCACCCCATCCTAACTAAATTGCAGGTCATTTTCTCACTGATATTGCTCTCAAGTTGTTGCTCCCTCTGAAATCCTGCTTTCGGGAAACACTTATTTTCAAATTATTATTTTTATTATTATTATTAACACAGCACAGTATGTGTGCATGAGACTTTGTAGAAGAGTGACAGACTATTATCCAGGGCTGTTTTAATTTTCAGACAGACAAGAAAGAGGAAAGAAGTTCCAGGAGGGATGGTGGGCTACATTAGGCTATATGTGTGTTTCTATGCAGATGTACAGCAAAAAACAAGCTCTTGTATCTGCACTGAGTTTTAACTCAGATGAGTTCCACTTCTATGGCCCTATATTTGAACAGAAAGATCATCTGCATAATAAACCACTAGAAAGAAAGGAAAAAATAACTTTCTTCTTTTGGGTGGAAGAAAAAAGAATGACCATGAAACCACCCACTGCAGTTAAAGAGTTATTAACTTGAATCACTGACAACAGAACCCTACTTATGCTAACAGTTCATAGAATTTAAATACTGTGTTTAAAACATGGGTGGACAAAAAATATCCATCTGCAGTATACTTCCATTTTAAATGAATCAATATTTTCAGAATCTACTGAGCACCCTGTTGTAGGCTGAACAATCATTGCAAATTGAAGATCTCAAAAATGAGGAAATATTTTGATACAAATTTTCTTTCAGCCTTCCTTTTCAATTAGAGATTTCGAAAAGCTGTACACCTTTCAGGTTAGCTGAAAGCTCAAAAAAATCCCTGTTTCCAGGACTTCTCCTTTTTAACATGAAAGCTGCTTTCTCTCTTCCCAGCTCTCACAACTAAAACCAGCTCTTCAATGCTGCACATTTGACACGTTTATAATCCTACAGCAGCCATCCTGAAATCAGCTGAGACTTAAGATTTTTATTCCTCCCTGAACAACAAGCTACAAGGAACAACAATTAGGCATTTGAATAGATGAGAGCATTTGGGGGCAACTACAACTTACATGGGAAGCTATGTAAGTCTTGAAATCAAAGGATGAGAAGCCAAATGTCTGGTAAGCCCAACAATCAAAGGAAAGACAATACTTGACAACATTTCAAAGGCACAGCTCCAAAGCCACACTAAACCACTTATTTTCTACCTCCCGTAAGAAAGAACAGTTGCCCAAGTCCCAGAAAATCAACCACATGAGTACTTTGTATTCTAAACCTTCTAACTCCAGACTCTACCCATTTGCCTCAGTGCCAAAAACTGCTACACAGCTTCAACAGTTCTGTCTCCTCCCAGTTACATTCATGCCAGCACCAACCTGAGCTGCTCTGAACTTCAGTGTTGCAAATGAGAGCCTGGCTGCAGCAGAACAAAACTTGCTGCAGATATATTTCACATAGCTTATGTTTAGACAAGGACTGCAACACACCACGTTTCACTCTGGTAAGACAGTTTGATGTAATTAGACAAGGCTAAAACAAATAATTAGCTGTACTAGAACCTCCAACCCACACTTTCCATAATGTTTCACAGTATCTTGTTTTATTGGCAGTATCAACAACCTTGCTATTAAAAATGTTTGATCAAAAGTGAACTGACAGCATGACACAAACTTCTTTAGACTTTAAGAGACCCTCACTTAGTTCAGATTCTTAACCTCCATGGCATTACACCCAGTTTATTAGATACACCAGCAACAAAGTCTGGGTGGACTGACTGACACATTATTCCTATTGGTCACCTCTGAAGATAACAAACATAAAGCTCCTGTGACTTCTCTGGAAATATTAACTATATCAGAGCTGAAGGCTTTTATTTCTTCTATCCCAAGTTTCAGAAGGGTATCATAATTCGGGATCCTCTCTTTCACTGGATCATTCTACCACTTCCTTCTGATATGTACTCTGATCCATGGACAGTTCTTCCATAGGTACATGAAGACGGGAGGAATCACCTGCAACACTAAATGCCCTAAACAGCATGGTAACAATAAACAAATCTATCCCCAACTCCTATCTCCTCTTGGGTATGGAAACACAGTTAAATGAAAGCCTGTTGAAGCTCATTCCATACTGCTGAATCCGGTAGCAATTCCAGAGAAAGCATCCTCAACCAGTTCTGCTCTTGTTTTCACATTTATAATTTTAAGCTATAATTAAAATACATTAATTCTTCTCATTTCACAAAAGCAATTTATGAGAATTTCCATATTAATATACGGCTACAAAACAATAAATCAGTAAGCACGCAGTCCACTGATTTTGTTGGAATTTCTCTTAAAAATAAACAGTGTTAGAGCTAAACAGATCATGACATTTTATCATTTAGAGCCTTTTATTTCCAGTAGCAGGTCAGTATCCTCAATATTATGCAGCAACTCTGCCACAGCTTGTACTGGAAACTGAGTAACACTCAACATGTTCACATGTTGAGCTCATCTTGAAAAATAATTTAAGACATTCAGTGCTGATGAGGAATCCCTCTGTCAAGCCCCTCATGCAAGTTATTCCTCATAAATCTGACTCATGATGATTTATTGTGAAGCCCCCTCATTTGTGTTTTATTGCTGCTAAGGCAGCAGCACATCCTTTAGCAACTCGCTCCTCCACACCTTATTACCACCTTCCATGATGACTGAGGTAATTTTTATACATATTCAGTTTCACACTTCACTGACTCTCTTCTGTTTCATGTAACAGAAATAAATCTTAACTCCTGCTTTTCGCTAGACATCTTCATTTAGCAGCTGATATGGCTGACTGTTCCAATATTTGTGTTACAATGCCAAGCAGCAGTGCCAAGTGAAAGCTTGCCAGAAATAACAGTTTACTGATGGAGTGGAGATCAGCATTTACACCTGTGGTTTGAGCACAGCAGTCACAAAATTCTGTACAAAAGGTTAAAAATCACAGCAGGGACATATACTCCAGGAAGTCTGTGGAAACTATTAAGATCTAATAAACTGAACATACATGTTAACAACATGAGAGCACACCCTGTGTACTATGAAGATATCAACACTCCCTTTTTACTGTGTGTCAACTCTAACACTACTTTTCACATGATACTGCCCAGATCTTCTGAACTGCTCCTCACTTCTTATACACTGGTACCTTGTTAGAATACACTATGACATAACATAATATTTTTCAAAGCCACTTCCATCAGTGCACTTAGCAAAGAACAATCCTTGGATCTATTTTTGTCATTAACTCAGACAACCGACAAAATTTTCATGAATGTCATCAAAACTTGGCTTGTGCAAAACTTACCATGATCCAAATCCCATGGGTCTCCTGTCATAATCAGGTAAGTCCGGAGCTATCTTGCATGCCTCTATGTTCAGGTATTTAAATATATGAATTTTTCCTTTTATACATATCTTAAAAAAAAATTGAAAAAATTAAATCACTATAATTTGACAACACATTTTCAAAGTAAACTACAGACATTTAACATGCAATTGAGAGTGATAAATGAGCATGATTACATCAATCAATGTATCTTTTATTCTAATCTCACTGCATTTTAGAGAACCAGCTATAGTGGAGCATCATGGGATGCCCATGAGAGACAAATGGAAGCTGTTCCCCAAGTACATCTGGTCTGCAGGCAACTCTGTCAGCTGGATGCTGAAATTTCATCATGCAAACAAGACATAAGCATTTACAAGTACTAGAATTTATACCCCTGGCATCAGAACAGATGCATCCCACCCATGCCCAGATTTGAATGGCAGTGGCAGACTGCCAAGGCCAGCTCAAATTTATGGTGGATGAAGCCAGTAACAGCTGTCTCTGCTTTCAAAAGGGAGGCAAAACCCTACTGAAACTGCAGGACTCAGCAAGGGCCACTCTTGACTCAGAAGCAGCAGCTCAGAATACAACCTGTAATACTCAGGGGCCTGTACATCCATTAAAGATCAAATTAGTCACTAACCATATTGCAGTTTCTAGCTCAAAGGCCAATTTGAGCCCTCTGCTGCAAAGTGAACCAGCAGCACTGAGGCCTCAGTCAAAATTTTGATCTGAGTGGCACAAAATCTGTCTCGTCTAACAGATCTTCCTCTCTCCTATGCTGAAAGCAGCAATGTTCAGATAACAGTGGAATCCTTTGCAATATCCCACAGGTGAGACTACTAATACAGTAAAGTAAGAAAAGCAAAACGGATTTTTCAAGCTGTGCTGTATATTTAACACTTTTATACAATAGAATTTATTTAAAGTTCTCTTGTTCTTAAATAAAGTTTGCAATATAATCCTTCAGCTTTTAACTTTGTTGGTTCTGCCCTTTTTAACTGAACTAGTAATCTGATTTCTTAGCTGCAGTTTACCTGTGCAGGGGGGGACTGGAGAGGGTTGTTCTCTAACATGATGGACTGAAGATGTCTGAGGTTCCTATAACAAACTGGTATTGTTGTTATTTTATTGCAGGAGAAATCTAATCGAATCAATGGCAACTCAGCAAGCTCTGGAAATAGAAAACAAACATCCAGTTCAGCAGATCGAAACAGTGTAAGAAAAAGCAAGAATATAAAAATAGGTGTTTCACATAACAATTAAGTGTGCTGCTTCAAGCTCTCAGGGGAAGAAAAGGGGACTGAAAAATAAAGAAGTGCTTGAAGTTTCTGCTGTTATAACTGACAGCCTTTATCTCACCTTCAGGTAAACGCACCAAATTATTTCGTCTGACATTTAGGTCCCTCAAGGATTCCAAATGGCCAATCTGTGGAGGTATTGTCTGTATTTCATTACAACTCACATCCTGCAGAGCAAGAGCAAAGAATGAGTTACCACTGCCTGGTAAGTCTCTGTTAACTGAAATATGCAGCTCTTTGTTTAGGGACTGAACACCTCAGATCCTTATATTCATCAATTGTCATTGCTGATGTGAAGCATTGTTCTCACTTTAAATACATGGCAAAAGAAAAGCTTTAAAAGATTAAGCATTCAGATGCAGAAATTTATTTCAAGTTATCTCATTCGAGTTATTCCACAGTATTTCAGACAGCACAACTCGCTACATAAAAGCTTTTTGCCAGAAACAAATGTACCAAGAGCTCTAATTCCATCTGTCCCTCCTTTCTAAAATAGGGAAGACACTTTAATTGACATGGATCATTTGCTCTCCAGTGCATCTCTCCCTTACATAATTTAAAAAAAAAATCTCAAGAGTATTTCAGACTCTTTTCTAACACCTCTGTACAAAATCAAAACATAGTTGCAGTGCTGTGGCAGACAGAAATCTTCCTTAGGCTAAGAGCAGATTTAAATAACTTGCCATTGCATACAAGTGGTTGGTTTACAATCATAAAGTTCTCAGCAGGGTGAGAAACAGGATGTTGATCTTGCACTTGCCCAGACAGCATCCTAATTACTGCAGGATTTTGATCAGTTTAAAACATTGTTATTTCTTCTGAAGCATCTGTGAACTTAATAAACATATAAATTAAAAGACTGAATAGTAATAGCTAAAAATCAAGTGTATACTCACGAGCTCTGTCAGCTGTCTGAGCTGTCCAATTTCTTCAGGTATTGAAACCAATTTATTATTACTCGCTATCAAAACTTTTAGTGGCAGACTACAGAGGTGTACTGGCAATGTTGAAAGCTGGTTTCGACTTTTGACAGAGAGAAAACAAAATAACCAGAACACTGATGAGAAATCTTAATGCAATGAAAGACACATAGAAAAAGCACACTCCATTTAGGTGATCAAATCAGGTTTTATATAATTACTGCAAAAGTAGTTCCATAAGGCTGTTCTTCACTACTTGCTTTATCTAGTTACGTGTGAACAAACTCTGAATATCAAGCACCAAGTCTGATCAGATGCTTTTGAACTCAGTGATAGGGACTGTGACATTTTTGTGCCCTTTCAGGTGCTTCTGGTAACTGGCCATGCTCTGTCACAAAGGAGTTTGAGCAGAGTGGAAAAGCCTTTCTCATAAGGAGCACTGCAGGTCAGCACACACAAAATGCCAGAGAGAAATATTAAATATTCAGTATCATTAGATACTTAATATTTAAAGTATATTTCTAATTAAGTAAGGACAATGGGACTGCACTCACTAGAGATACAGCATTACGAAAGCCATACATGATTCATATCCTATTTGTACAATTTTCATATCAATTAAAAAAAAGAAAATAAAGAAATATACTTTTGCCAATTTAGTGTGCTTATAACACCAGAAGGGGATAGCCTGAGACCTTTTTTTTTTATAAATATCTCTGCCAATTTCTGACAAGAAACTTTCCACATCTCTTAAAAGACCTTCTACAAATGCAAGATGCTGTACACAGTTGAATTTCATGATGGGCCAAGTTGCAGCAATTAGCTTTTAATGCTGGCAGTGAAGGGCTAATGCTTGAGAAAGATCTTTCAAAGCCACCAGTACAGTGAAGGTAAAGGGAAATTGCATAAGCCTTATTCATCTGCAGCGAGCTGAATTGCAAAGACCATGCTAAAGCTCTATCATCTCTTTTCAGACTGCACACCTGTACTTCACAGGAAAATTACTGGATTTATTTATTTATTCCTTTAAACTGGAATTAGACTTGTTCATACTCCACTTCTAAAAGCTGCTGCTTAATCCTCATGTTCCCTGATCCACCTAAGCGGGTTAAGAATGGTCCAGGTTGCTTTGATTCAATGACACACAACACAACAACATGATGATTACACAGCAAGTTTGCACTACTTACAATGCACCAAAATTTACAAACCCAGACTACTCATACTAAAGCAAAATTTGTAAGACAACTGTTACCTGATATTTAGAAATGTTAAAGACTGTAAGTTCAAAACAGCCTCTGGGATGTATCGAATGCAGTTCTGGTACAAATTAAGACTCTCGAGGGAGACAAAGTGACACGCTTCTGCTGGAAGCTCAGACAGCCTGTTCCGTGACAGATCTGAAGGGAGGGAAAAAAAGAGAGATTCAGTAAAGCTACCTTAAAACTTCACCAAGTTCCTTGCTTGGCAAGAGACAGAAGTTTAACCAAATCTCCTACGACATGTTTGTATTTGAAGAATCAAAACATTTCCTTAGACAGTTCCAATCATCAGTCTACAGGTATAAAACATCCATCAGCAGTACTGTCCTTCAAAAGCTGTGATAAATAACGCACTTGCAAAGGGTTCTTTTTTCTTTAAAGGTTAAGGAAACCTGCTGATTATAAATGCCAAAGGGCTGTTCTCACAGACACACACACAGAGTTCCCACTTCCTAACACACCCAGCTCCAAGTCCTGACAGGAGCAATGCTCCGATCTCAAGCACCTTCTGTCAGCAGGGAGTTCCCACAGAGAACTGTTTGCTAAGCTGATGCTTCACCTCAGTATTTTTAAGAGGGGGGTAGACATTCATTGCAAAAACCCATGTAACCTGAATCAGTGTTATGAATTATTAAAAAAAAAAAAAAAATCCACATTTAATTGCTATTTTCTTTATTTGTTTTGAACTTCTCATCAACATAAGAGGACAAAAGCTACCACGCCAAAATACATACAATAAATTGACATACTAATTTCTGTATCTTTATTCCATGAAGGAACCATACAATACAGATTACTCTTTGCATTGCCAGAGTGTGTGGGAGAATCTTACCAGAATTAAATTCAGCAGTTTTTCTGATCACCTCACCACACAGCCCCATAAACCCTATGCCAGCACCAGGGAGAAACATCAGTGCAGGCAGCATAATCCCTGTTCTGGTGCCAGGGATTACTTTTGGAGATTTAAAGCACTCACTGAACTCCAGCCTAAGTGGAAGCAGCAAATAAGTCGGACCGATCAGAACCTCCTTAAGGATCTGCAGATAGTAAAGGAGTCAATAAAGTAATTGTGTGAGTCCTACAGGGACACAGTATACTCTTCCAAGGGAATTGTACTGGAATTGTACAGGCCAGTGGTCACAGCAGCAAGCCTGCCAGAGTTCAAGAAGTGTTTGGATGACACTCTCAGGCACACGGTGTGACTCTTGGGGATGGTCCTGTACAGGGCTGAGAGTTGGACTCGATGATCCTTGTGGGTCCCTCAAACTCAGCATATTCTGTGATTCTGTGAATTTATGCAATGGACACTTATTTTGCACAAGCCATCTCTGATAATACACTTATCTGTCCTAGGATTTCTTCTGCTTTACTTCCACAGCTTAATTCTCATTAATGATTTAGTGAAAATGACAGCAAACTCCAGCCTTCCTCTCCTCCAGGTTGTATCACTGCAGGAGATTTAAAGCAGAGTAATAGTGGTAAGACTGTGCAACAATGGGGTGTCCGAAATTGTGACATTCCTAATGGGATCTCTCTGTGTGCCAATGTTGTCGTAAATGTAACAGAAGAGAGATTTTTCAAACAAACACACTTCTCCTCAACATAAGCTATGTATCCAGTAAAGTTTCTAGTAAGTGTTTGCAGTCACTGGAGTTATCTGTGATCCACACAACTTTCCATGAGGTTCCATAGCACAATTGTATGTTACTGTCTAAGAAAGGGAGAAGGATGCAAATTATTTCAGAGACAACAACAAGCAAGAGTAATTTAGAAAAAATACTTGGCTTCCACATTGACTAGATGCTTAAGTGCCTATTTAAAGAATTATTACAACACTGATTTACATATAAGGTGTAAATGTTTTTCTTAGGGACTCTGGAAGATGGAAATGAATTCCACCTCTTCTCTCACAACACACTAACATCCTTCAGCTCACAGCTTTATCCCCCCTTCACACAGCTGTGCTGGCAAAGGCAGTTCGAATACAACCCATTTTAACAGAGAAACAGGCTTCCCAAATAGTGAGTCCTATTTTCTGGCAGAAGAGTGGCAAATAAAAAGTTTCTTTCAACTGGTTGGAAAGGTTTACCCTCAAACATGAGAATTCTCAATTGCTTTTTGTTTCACTTTATATTACGAAAGAACATTTAAAAACTACTTTTTACATATTGTGCAGACCATAAGGCTTGAACTAGTCAAGAACTTCACATATTCTGAGCTATGATTTAGTATTTCTAAAGAAATAACTCTCTGCAAAAACAACATTAGGTATGAAGAAATGAAAATATACTTTTTAAACAACAAATGAGCTCAGTGTGTGATAGAAAAGAGACACCAGAGCTGGTTAGCAGCAATGACTAACTTTTTCCAGACTTCTCTCAATCTACAGTGATTTCTAAAACTTGGCATTTCTATTTAGCAGAGACATTCAGTGGAAAACAGATTAAACCAGAGCTGAATTTTGATGCTGCAGTATAGTCTCTTACATAATTCAAAATGGGTCTAACCAGTTACAGGTTTGATTAATAACTTTGTAGCATTTTTACTCGTGATGGCCATGAGAATGCTGTCTTACACACAGCATCCATGATTCCATGTGTCCAAATGGGGAGCCAGGAGGGAGGGTCTGCCAGGGTCACAAAAACAGGCAAGCACTAGGGAATAAAAAAAACCCCAAACAACTAAGCTAAAACAAGAGTACCTGGAGAATTACACAGAAGCAAGATACGATAAAATACAGTGTCAGTTCTGTATCTGTAAATGAAGAACTGCTCTTTTCTGCAATCCCCTCCCTGTCCCATTGTAAACCTCTTACAAGTATTTAAATTTCCCAAAGTCCACAACACAGCATCCCTAAGATTCAGTGACATTTTTTTATTTTGGTCCAGGTTCTCTGGAATCCTCCTCCATGCCAGAAAGTGGACCTTCGATGGGACCAGAAATGAGGCAGAGAATACAACAGTCACTGCACGAAAGAAT